AAAAAAAAAAAAAAAAAATCCTTGCTGGGTTTTTGCATCGCCCGGTTTCGCCGGGCGGACCCCCCCGGGCCCAACCGGCCGGGGTCCACCTGGCCGGGCACGCCCGGCCAGGCGGCAGCCCAGCCTAGGTCAGAACCAGTTTCTAAACCACCAGTGCCTTTCCCGCCTGGGAAAATAGCGGGCCTCGGGTAGGCGTCCGACCTTTCCAGAGGCCGAAACGACATGACGGCCGCCGATCGGATTTATCAAAGGCAGTCGTCGTCGGACCCGACCTCCGAAGATTCAGGAGTTTGGGAAAACTGCCAGTTTTCCCTATTTTCCCACGCGGGAAAGGTACTAGTGCTCTAACTGCCTAACTATACACCTAGTAAGAACCAGTTTCTAAATGAGTCATTAGATAAGTTCTACTGTCTTATTTGAATCTAACGAGTCATTTTAGATGCTAAGTGGTGACCATTTAGGTTCCCTTGACTTCTTTTATTAACTGCTTCGTTGTGCACTTCATTAACAAACCGTTTAGTCAGGTTGTAAACAACAGCTGATGTCTATTGTCACATATCTATTGCCTAGAAGATCACATTCATAAATGAACCACGAAAATAGCAGGCAACAAGGAGGGGGAATGGAATGCAGGTTCCAGTACCCCGGAACTGCTCTTAAGGTACCATTCAGTCACAAGCCGTCAGAATTCAGCAGTGAAGATAAGATGTGCGCCGGGTTTTTCTTGCAGTGACACATGACTATTTACTTTCACTGGACGATGAATTTGACAAGCAATTACCTGCTAAGCATCCAACCATCAAGATTGATCGAGTCACGCCCGGTCGCCGCCTTGTGGTGCATGGGGTCCAGGAAGTCTGCAGGTAACCAACGTCAAAGCCAAAATCCACATCAAATGTCAAAATCGAAGCCTGAAGCCCTCTGACAGCAAATCTTCATAGGGAGGAGAAAAGTCTGATCTGGCCAGGTTCAGATCAAGTATTCAACTGCCAGGAGAAGCTCCCTGAAATGCCAACTGGAAGGTCAGAAAAAACTGATGCAGTGGCTGCCACAATAATAGCATATTCTGAAGCACCCCCTTCTGAAAGAATTTTCACTAATTGTGCCACGGTCGAACGCTTCTGACCAACTGCTACATACACCTAGGCTGTAAACCCGCCCTCCCCCAACCGGAACCGGACCGGTCCCACCGGCCAGTCGACCGGGCCGGTCCTCCCCCCGGTTGGCCGTAACGCATCAATTTTTTTTTTTTTTAAGCCCAGGGTGTTGTAGAGGCCAAAGACTAGACCCACGGTGATCGGTGGCAGCGGCAGCTGGTGGTTGTCCTGACAGGATAGGCCACCTTCCCTACACTTTCCCACGTTCAATACTCCCAGTGCACCCCCTATACCTACTATCCTACCTCAGTGTGACCAGCACTCAGCACCATCACCTTACCAGTATCGAGGGCAACTTGAACCAGACAGCAGTGACAAGCACCAAGGGGCCGTAGCGCATCCAATCTTGGGGGTCTTACTGTTTTTTTTTTTGGGCCAGGAGGCCTCCACACAGGCTGTGGAGGTCTCCTTGCCCAAAAAAAATCAGACCGGGTCCGGTAGGCCCGCCAAAAAGGCTTGAAAAGGGTGGCCTATTTGGACCACTGATCTCGAGAGATCGGCAGCCCAGATAGGCTGCCCTTTTCAAAGTTTTTGGGTGGGAAGTACTGTCCCTACACTGCCACTAACACCCCCACCCCCCTTTTCAAAGTTTTTGGGCGGAAGGTTCACGTTTGCAGAAAGCCAGGTGCGTTGTTGTCAATGTCTGCCAAAGCCCATGCTTGCTGAAACCCCACCATAAACCCCCCAACCCCCGACCCCCAACCCCTGAAATAACAGCCCCCCCAGATAGGCTGCCCTTTTCAAAGTTTTTGGGTGGGAAGTACTGTCCCTAACCTGTGTTACGATCCTGGCCAATTTTGAAGCATACATTCATCAGAAAGTACAATGCCGTCCAATTGCAAAAAGAAATGAATGAACTTGAGAGGAGAGAGAGGGAAAGAAGAAGAAAAAGAAGATGATTTACTCCAGCATAGGCCAATGACAAGGCCCTTCTTCTTCGCCAACCAATCTCCTCCACCTTATCTCCAACAATAATAATGTTGAATGGCTAAACCAGTATCAATGTCCGAATTCCACTTCTACTGCAGGCACAACATGAGGTCCACCATAGCCATGGCCACCCTTCCTCTTCCTCTACACGCAGGCCGAGGCTACGGCGGAGCACTGAGGGTTCTCCCTCCTGTCCAAAGGACAACCCAAAGCAGCTATGTCGCTGCCTTTCTGTCCCAAGGTCAACACCAGACAGCTATGCCGCTGCCCACTCAACCGCCATGCCTGACTCTGTCCCGAGCTTCCTTGATGCGGCACTACCCCAACTGGGGCCTTCCTGATGCAGCGCCTAAACAGGTGATGAAGATGGTGTCCACCATAGCCAGGTAGGTACCTCACCACTCTCCTCCTTGGTCCCCTTCTCCCTCCTCCTCCTACTGGCCGAGCTCCACCATAGCCGAGGTGGAAGCTCCCGGCTTCTTCCTCCCAGCAGCGCTGTAGCAGCCAGCGCTCTTCCAACCAGTGCTCCAACAGCGTGACGCCCAACTCGCACACTGAAGAATGAGGCCGAGCTCTTCCCTCGGCCTCTTGATATAGCGGCCTGCTTGCCTCCTGGGCGGTGACTTCCAGGCCGCTCGGCTTCCCAAGCAACTGGTACCTCCTCCCTTTCGGAGGGAAACATCATTGCAGACTCTGATATTGCCCGTACAGGCTCTAGACTCAGACTGGATGGACTGGTACCGGCCTAGACCTAGCCTACCGCTACTGGGCCTCTAAAAATGCCAACTTTGTCTTCTTCTGCTCGGCCTCGAGTACCCGGCACGTCTACTGCTACTGGGTGCGGTACCGGCCCACCTGCTACTTGAGTGTCTTTCCGCTGCTCTAAGCACCGCGGGCCCCTGGCTCCTCTACTCGAGTGTTTTTCCCTGCTGCAACCCTCAATGCCACGGCCCCAGGTTAGTACCGGCCCTACGGGCCTGCCAAACAAGCAAGTACCCTTGCGGGTCACATACACACTCATGCCGACAAGCACTCAGACAGGCACGCAAGTCAACAGGCACGCACACATACAGACTTAGAAAACACAGCAGAATGCGGGAATCTCAGCAAGGCATCCATTCCATCGGCAGAACTTCAGAAATCAGCTGTTACGGACTCCGCCAGGGCTCGATCCCTGGTCTATCTTTTTGCTGTTTCGGCTGCATCCCGTTTCGGCCTGGCACCCTTTTTCCAAACCCCTCCTTTGGTACCGTAGGCGCCATGCTGCAATTTGGGCGCCACTTTCAAATACCGCATTTTTCAGTTCTGCCCTCGGGGCCTTTGCAGAAATCCCCCTGGTACCGTACGTGTCACCGGTACTTACCGGCTCCCCGTACAGTACGGGGACCAGTCTCGTACCAGTTTTCTGCTGTACTGGTACTCAGTGTGACTTGCTTCGACATTGTGTTCGGAAATCCAAGACTTCGACTTTGCGACTTTGGCACTTCGTGTCTGCGTCCGTCGAGTCGTGTCAAGTCTGCGTCGAGTTGAGTGAGTGTGTGTGTGTGCTCTCACTCTCTCCCTCTCTCTCCCAGCCTCGTTGCCTCAGCCCTGTCACATCAGCAGTGCTCTCAGTCTGTGTTATGGCGGGTCATTACACCTGCCACTAACACCCCCACCTCCCTTTTCAAAGTTTTTGGGCGGAAGGTTAACGTTTGCAGAAAGGCAGGTGCGTTGTTGTCAATGTCTGCCGAAGCCCGTGCTTGCTGAAACCCCACCATAAACCCTCCAACCCCCGACCCCCAACCCCCCGAATGAACTTCTGTGTTCAAAGTTTCTTTGCGGATTCGGGGAGATCTCGGCGACCGCAGTCCATCCATGTTTTCAAAAAGAAATAATAAAAAAAATCGACCCACTTTTGAGCCCAACCAGAATTCCGGTTGGACCACCGGGGGTCCAACCGACCGGTTGCCGGCACAGCCTAGACATACACACAATACAGCTTTTCTTTCTCAGAGGCACCTTTTGCATTGATCTGCTTCTGATTCATGTGGCAGATCTACTACCCCTGCTTACATGTACATAGACCCCCCCCTGACAGAGCATGCCATTTGGGCCTACTCTTGGACTCAGGGTCATAAGTGTAAGGCAGGCCATCTGGTTTTCACAGAAGAGTAGTTATGTCACCTTTATTGACAATGCTCGAAAGTGATAGATCTCACCTCCTCATTTCCATTGCCCGCCTCATGCCCCAGGGTCCTACCTGTGAAGGTCCACTTTATTCAGACGCGCCTTGGCTACATTTTCATGCTCCCAGATCAACGCTTACTTCAAAATGCATCCACGGGTATCATGCAGACTTACGATGGGCAGAATGCTTACTGCAAAGTCAGGAGGTGAAGACTAGCCAATTTTCTTTTCTTTCCTCTCCCTTTTCGCTTCTCGCTATTTTCTTACATTCCAACCCATGCTTCACTCAACAATCACAGGGCATATAGAACACGGGTGACCCAGACGATTCACAACAATATCACATTGTTTGTGGCTTGTAATAGAATTTTGATACGGTGCATAAAATATATTTAGTTAGAATTTCTGCCAAACAGAAAAGACAGCAAGTAAAAAAAAAAAAAAAAAAAGGCCAGCAAGTGCAGGCAATTCTGACGATTCCATGAGATCGGATAGTCAACCTCACTCCCTTTACATAGCCATTTTCAAATCACACAAAACTTTAAATCACCAGCACCCCCGACTTTGCGAATTACGCATTTCCACATCGGCCCGCAATTCAGGGGGGAGCCTTGGTGTCAGTGTGGCAGTACCAACTCATGCAATCAGACTTGACGATTTCGACGTTCAGCATGCATACAAACAGATGACGATCAAGCTGGCGACTCTCGCCCACACAAAGCTCAGAGATAACGAAGCGACAAACACAGTTCAGATTCAGACTTGTCTCATTCGGCTATGGCCGCAACTCGTTCATACACACACAACTCTGGATCTCCCTGGATGTCCCGACACATACACATACACACAAGCTCAACTCTACACACACACTAACACCCTACTAACATGCTGGTGTGGCGGCTATGGCCGCCGTCTCTCTCTCCCTCTACTGACTAGCTCGGCTATGGCCGACTTCCTCCTCTTAGCCCTCTTCTTCCTCGGGCACCTGCAGACCTCCGCACACAAGACACTCCGGCAGCACTTCCGCACCGCTGACAGGCAGAATGAATGAATGGCTTGATGCTGCATCTTTATTTATACTTTGCATTGTCAAAGGTCTGCCCTTGGGTGCGCACAGTCCCACATGGTACTTGCTGAATTGACAAAGTGCGACCGGGACAGGGTACCGCTGACGGGCCAGAGTTAGTCTGCCCACTTGCCCACTTGCCCACTTGCCTACGGTCTACCTCCTAAGACCTACGAAGGGTCGCTTCTGGAAGCTCCGGAAGGCTTTGAACTTGACCCTACAGCACCGTAGCAGCTACGACCTTGACTCCTGGGGAATGTAGCAGCTACGACTCCTACCACTGCTAAGACTTCTAATTTACAGACCGACTGTTCGAGACCCGACAACCATACTACCTACAACAAGCAAACAGAAGACTTTTAAAACACAGGTCGCGGGTTCATGCTCACACGGGTCAACTAATACTATACACGGGTGAGGGCGAGATCTGGGGATCGAGCCCTGGGAACTGCATCTGCTATCATAAAGGTGAAAACCGTTTCACTCACAGCACGCCAATGTTGGAAGCCGTTGCACAGCACCCCAGCTGAGACCAGAATTTATTTCTTCATGGTGGAGACCTTGTGACCTTGCTGCCCTCTGGTGGTCCATCCACTGTGCCGAAACCGTAACAAAAACTAGAAAGGAAATTGTTTTCGGACACTCTGTTGTGATGGGATATCCTTAACACTCTTTAAGCAAATAGCGGTCCTCGCGTAACACTCCCGCGAGAGGCCGCTTCACACTCTTTAAGCAAATAGCAGTCCTCGCGTAACGCTCCAGCGAGAGGCCACTCACCACTGTTGGGAAACGTGGCGGGACCGGCAGGCGGGCCCAACAGATACCGCGTGTGTCTTTCAGGCAGCGAGCGAGCTTGCGTTGGGCGGCCCGATAGAGTTTTCGGGATCCGTGTCAGGCAATTCCCAAAACTTCTATCGGGCCGTCCAACGTAAGTCCAGTCGGCGTCGTGGGTCCTGCTTTTTGTATTTACGTGCTGGATGTTTTGATCACTTTGCTGTTTCTATTTCCCGCGATCGCTTTGCTGTTTCGATTGGACTCCGTTGCAAGAGAGAGAGAGAGAGTTCGGTTCGAAGAGAGAGAGAGAGAGAGAGAGAGAGAGAGAGAGAGAGAGAGAGAGAGAGAGAGAGAGAGAGAGAG